ACCTGTGTGTATGTGGAACTTTTCCTCGATTCCATTGATGGTTAGAAAGAGATGTCAATCAGCAAAATCGAGCAAGGGGGGCCAGAGATATGGAAAATCCACCCAAATGACCCCAGAAGTGTTTTGTTTTGTTGCTAAATCTCTCTAAAAAGGTCATATTTCACTTGTTTTCCATCAATCTTGATACAGGGTAGTTATTATGTGTTGTAGTTTGGATTCCTAAAGCTTTTAGTCTACCATCCCATCATTCAAGGGTGGTTTTCACTATAAGTAATTTTTTGTTTTTGGACGGACACAATCATTTACATTTTTTTACTGTGCTCAATCTGAATTTAGTTTAAAATAAAAACATCTATATTGATTCTGACTTTTCTACATCCAACTCACAGGTTTATCATTACTTTGAGAAAAAAGATGATTAATTTAACCCTTTTTAGAAGGGAAGATATGGTCATTTGTTCTGGGAATGTCATTTTCGAGCCTGAGACCTGAAAAACAGGCTCGGGGCTAAACAAGTAGAGTTCTTCTTTCAAACCTTTCTTATTTTTTCCCCACCAGCAATGGAAATCCACCATGATGACTACAATGATTACCCAGAAACCTATGACTTTTCAAACTACTCATTGGGGAATATTAGTAACTCCACATACTTCAACGAGAATGATTCTGGCTTTTGTGATCCTGAAGATCAAGAGTTCACCATCAAAATGTTCCAGACCTGCATCTTCTGCCTGATTTTCCTGTTGGGCGTGGCGGGTAACTGCCTGGTCATAGCCACCTTTGTTTTTTCCCGCCGTTTCCGTCTTCGCTCCATGACCGACGTCTTCCTGTTCCACCTGGCGCTGGCCGACCTTCTCCTGCTCCTCACGCTCCCATTGCAGGCTGTCGATACGCACCTGGGCTGGATCTTCCCTAATGGCCTTTGCAAGGTTCTGCGTGCATGCTACGCTATCAACACATACAGCGGGATACTCCTGCTAGCCTGCATTAGCGTTGACCGCTACATTGTGGTGGCACGTGCCCAACAGATGCACCGGCTGCGCAGTCGCATTGTTACAAGTGGGAAAGTTGCCGCTGTTGCTGTGTGGTTTGTTGCTATGCTCCTGAGTTTGCCTGAAATCCTCTACTCTGGAGTGTTAGTGTCTGAGGATAAAGCATACTGCGGCATGCTAAAGCGTGGAGCAGTCAAGATGTCAACCAACGGAGCCATCATTGCTGTCTTCTGCCTGTCCTTCTTCATTATGGTGACATGCTACTCTTTGATAGCTCGAGTGCTGTGGGAAGGGAACAAAAATCGGCGGGGGAAGCAGTGGCGTCGGCAGCGCACCCTGAAGCTGATGGTGGCGCTGGTGGTGGTGTTTCTGGTGTTCCAGCTGCCGTACACTGTGGTGCTGTTGCGTAAAATGACGGGGCCGCTCTGTGCTCTGCTGCTGGAGTACATAACCTGCACTCTGGCGTACTCTCGATGTTGCCTCAACCCTATCCTGTACGCTCTGGTAGGCGTGCGCTTCCGTAATGATGTGGTGAGGCTCATGTGGGATTCAGGATGCCAGTGGGGGGTCCGGTCAGCGCCACAGGCAGTGAGTTCCTACTCCATGTCCCCCACCTCCCCTGCTCTCACTGTGTTCTCAGCTTGCTCACCAGCATCCCCTGAAAGCAGCAGCTCCATACCATCAAATGTCAGTTTCCGGGAACCAAATAATACTTAATGATGTGGACTTTATTTGTTACATTCCATTTTTAAATCTTTATTTTCTGTTTAAGTATACATCATGTGTTATTATTTGGAAGAAATGAACTGAATAATTAGAAGGGGTTGCAAAGGTGTGCATTTCATCATTAACGATTGTATGAAATACAAGTGTCGAAACCAAGGCTCCAACTTAATTGTTTACCTGGGAGAGGAAAACATAGCAGGATGGAAGGTGACCCAAAGTCTCCCAGGACGGACAGACGTGTAATAGATGCTGTGTGACAATACATTTACATTAAAAAATAATAATCGGTGGAAGCCGTAGTATGTGTTGGAGGAGGGGCTCTGCAAGGAAGTGGCAGATGTTTTCCGGTTGGGTATTTTCAAATTCTAGCGCACTCGAGCTGGTTTCTCCAAAATGATATACCCCACCTTTAAGTTTGATCCCTGGTCGAAACAGTATAGTACTTCCACTGTATAATACACTTGTAAATGCTATACTTTGACAGACTTGTTTGTAAATATTAATGTAGTTCGCTCTTTCATGTTTTTAAATGTAATTTGTTAATAAAACTGTTTTCAGTATCATGGTATGTGCTGGAATTATTTTGGTCATCTGACTCATTGTTTATATTTTAATTGTCATTTTTATGTTTTGTCTCATAACACATTTTCAATTACTTTAGGACCATTTGTCCCTTCCTTTGTAATTTTTATTTGTCGATTACTTTCTTTTAATTGGCTAATTGAGATTTTTAAAATATATTTCTGAACACATAAGAGAGACGAAATACAGGAACGGTTAGGCATTTAAAGTTTTCAGGCTGGGTACAAAACAGTTTTAATTATACCCCCCACATATCATGACATACTGTATATGAGTGATGAATTTAAGGTTTGAATAAAATAATTTTAAATACAGCAAATAATACAAAATCTTTCAGAGTCATAGCTAAGATGGTTGTTTCTTCTTCTGCTTTATGTGGTTAAACCACCTATAGATGTGGGTTTAGGTTTAATTTTAACTGATTTTATTTCTTCTGTTCTCTTGCTATAGCGTAATTAAAATATATATTATTTATATGAGTATTTGGTTAAAACGTTGACACAACAAAATCATCAAATTAGTTGCAGTCATGAGTTTTAATAGCTGATTAGTGTTGACACATTTCCAAAAAGTCTTGATACCCAGTGAAGTCACTTGTCCTTATGGCCGAACATAGTCACAGAGACATTATCTGGTCACATTCTCCCTTCAGTCCTATTATATCAGGTGACCAAAAGCAGAAGATCAGAGCCACAGATTGACGTAACACTAAACACAACCTCATGTTCAGCCCTATGCATGCAGCACCATGTTTTTATTTCAAGGAACTGGAATTCCATACTTGACACTGTTTGCAGAAGTGCTTGTTGTCCAGAATATTTGTTGTGATTAGTCAACCTCTAAGCCTAAGTAAAATGTGTTGGAGCGCTAGCCAATGGAAACACAAATGTAACATAGACATGAACAACATTTCTTTATGACACACTACAGGAAAGGGAAAACCCCAAAAAGCATAGTATTTAAATGTTCAAACCTCAACCCTAACCTGACCTAATTTCTAACCAAACCCTTGACCCAAAAACAAAACTAGACTTCTTTCTACACTTATTTATCAGTTAAACATTAAATACTTTGCTATAAGTTGCAATTTATCATTGGACTATAATAAAAAAAATGTGTATCACAATTTTGCATATAGCAAGACTTGTTGGATGTGTGTGTGTCAAAGACTCTTTTGTACATTTATTTTTTATTATAGTTATTATTGTAGTTGTCTTCACTTGTCTCTAGGAATCAAATGTGATGCATAAACCTAAATAAAAAAACATTATTTACAGCACTTTAAGGCTAGCTATGCATTAGATTCAAGCACATTTTGCATTTTGTTTTTGTCAGAGGTTTTGCATTTTCAGTATAAAAAAAAAGTATGTAACTTTGCAGCGTCACCACCGCTAAGGGGAGACACTGTACAAACTCAGTGTCCAAGGGGGGAAATTGACTCCAGTTTTCTATGAATTTGACTCATGAAGCAGAATCAATTATATTACATTATCTCTATTTTGGTCTTACATGTAAGATTATGCTGTCACAGGTACAGCATGTTTGGATCCATGTTGGTTAAAATCAGCCAGTTAACCTCGTATTGAAAACGCCCCTCTTTTTAATAAGGAAATCCTTTTTAGTTGTTACCTTTATCATCACAGTTCATCCAAACAATTACAATGACTTGTTTTACAAATAATGCTTTCATAAAGTGCAGTTCATCTCCTCATTTAATTTCTAGTTATACTATTGCTGGTTTTTAAAGCACTAAATGGTTTAGGACCAAATGAAGCTCACCTCCGCTTCTCGAGGCTCGCGCACGCGCAGCGCGCTCCCTGCCTGAACGCCGATTATCAAGCTGACTGACAGCAGCCAGCAGGACAGCAGCAGTCAGCGACTCGCGAGTGCAACACACACACGCGCATGATGGCTGAGAGAAAGAGCAGCGTTGTGTGGAGCAATTTCACAACTAGCAATTAAAACTTAGCGAAATGTGATGTGTGCAAGGAGACAGTTCGCTACTCTGGCCACTTTGTATTGTTATTTTTCATGTTTGCACTTTAAATTTGCAAAAGTAAAACGTTTAGGCCTATTTGTCTATAAAAACTGTCCGGTCTGTATTCATGAAAATTAATTCAGATTTAGTCTATTTATAATGATTTCAGCTCAAAAATCCTGTCATGCAGCTCTCCCCTATATGAAAGTACATAAGACGTTTTTCCTTTAAAAAAGTAGCGGTATCGATATCGATCGGTATCGGCGATACTGGCCCTGTAATACTTGGTATCGGATCGAATCCAGATTTTGTGGAATCGCCCACCCCTAGTATTCATTCAGTCCGCAGCTGCTTATAATCAGCTCATCACGGGCGTGCTCTTTAACCTATTACATTCACCAGATTCTCTAGCAGCCAATCACCGTGCTGCAGCCAAACTTTAAAATGGTTCTCCTCTCTCCTGCAGTCAGCTGTGATTTCAGGTTGTCATGCTGCCGCCCGCCTCCTCCCCATCCACCTCCTTTCATCATACCCAGTGCCAGGAGAGTTAATCCAAAGACCTCATCACACCTCCTCTTCATCCCATCTCCTCATCAAATCCAGATCTTCAGCATCATCACCAGTGTCTAGACCCCGGGGGGTTCCCTATATGCTCACGGCTGCATTTCCCCCTTTAGATACGATTTCAGGATCGGGGTCTAATCGCCAAAGACTCGCCAAAGGGGGCGGGGGGCGCTGGCAGCATGACAACCTGAAATCACGAGATGGGTCTAGATGTCTGGATGCGGACCGCATAACCCTTTAGGAAACGCCCCCTATAGGATCCACCCCCTTTCCGCCTTCAGCAAGGAGGATCCGCCTCCTTGCTGTTAACTGCTGCCGTCGTGTGTTCAGAAATTGTGTAGAAGCCTTAATGTTTCAAATTCAAAGCCCTATTTCAAAGCTCTATACCAAAAATGAGAGGCTTTATGTTAAGCTTGGGTGCACATGAATCGCGTATGAACAATAAGTAAATCAGACTCGGTATTCTCTTCAGCATGTCTCCGGTAAGTTTATTCAC